CACCAACTGAATGCTGATATGCTAAATCCGTTGTTACACATACCATAACTAAGAGTGAAAGACAGGAATATCAGGGGGAAAAAAAAGTGTCTGCTTTGTGATAAACATGTCAGAATTAGCCCGGAAGGGACTTAAAAAAGCATAAATGGTAATACTAATTTTAGGGAAGGACGTTGTCATGATCTGATGTGTACTCAGATTTTTTCAAGTTTGCTGCTCATATTTAAGATGCAGGTCCCCCCCTGTCCCTCCTTTCTCCCTCCTAATCTTCCCTCTTAGACTCTAAGTGGATTAAATGGAAACAGAATCCGCTGCAGCTTTAATAGAATGACTGGAATTTTAAGCAATTTATGGAGGATTGATCCAGGGACCAACGAGTCAGAGACCAGTGATGCCTCCTCACTCCATCTTAAAGGGACACTTCAGGTTTTTTTCTACATCCATAGTGGATTTTTTTTTTTTTTTTAAATCCACAAGACACAGTCCAAAGTCCAACTATTTGACAGTGACAGTGATTCCCAAACTTTCTCTGCTGGGCACAAAATTGTTGGTACCCTACCGTTAACGGAAGAAAAACCCACAATAGTCACTGAAAGAACTTGAAATTGACAAAAGTATATAATAAATAAAAATGTACTGAAAATGATCTAATGAAAATCAGACATTGCCTTTGAATTGTGGTTCAACAGAATCATTTTAAAAATACAAAATAATGAAACTGGCCAGGACAAAAATAATGGTACCCTTAGCTTAATATTTTGTTGCACAACCCTTTGAGGCAGTCATTGCAATCAGGCGATTTCTGTAACTTTCAATGAGACTTCTGCACCTGTCGACTGGTATTTTGGCCCACTCCTCGTGAGCAAACTGCTCCAACTGTCTCGGGTTTGAAGGGTGTCTTCTCCAGACTGCATGTTTCAGCTCTTTCCACAAATGTTCAATAGGATTTAGATCAGGGCTCATACAAGGCCACGTTAGAATAGACCAAAGTTTTGTTCTTGGCCATTCTTGGGTGTTGTTAGCTGTGTGTTTTGGGTCATTATCCTGTTGGAGGACCCATGACTTTCGACTGAGACCAAGCTTTCTGACACTGGGCGGCATATTTTGCTCCAGAATGCCCTGAAGGTCTTGAGATTTCATTGTGCCCTGCACAGATTCAAGACACTCAGCCCCAGAACATAACTAAGGTTCCTCCATGTTTCGCAGTAGGTACAGGGTACTTTTCTTTGTATGCTTCATTTTTGTGTCCGTGAACATGCTGATGGGACCGGCCAAAAAGCTCCAGTTTTGTCTCATCTGTCCAAAAGATATTCTCCTAGAAGCCTTGGGACTTGTCATTATGCATTTTGGCAAATTCCAGTCTTGCTTTTTTTATGATTTGCTTTCAACAATGGTGTCCTCTTTGGTCATCTTCCATTAAGTTTGGCTGAAACAGTGAGAGATGGTGCGTTCTGATACTGATGTACCTTGACCTTGGAGTTCACCTTTAATCTATTTGGAAGATGTTCTGGGCTCTTTGGTTACCATTCATGTTATCCATCTCTTGTGGCCACGCCCAGGGAGGTTGGCTACAGTCCCATGGACCTTAAACATCAGAATATTATGTGCTGTCGTCACAGGAATATCACGCTGCTTGAAGATGGTCTTATAGCCTTTACCTTTAACATGCTTTTCTATCATTTTCTTTCTAATCTTCTGAGACAACTCTCTCCTTAGCTTTCTGTGCTCCATGTTCAGTGCGGTACACACCACGATGCCAAACAGCACAGAGACTACTTTTCACCCTTTAAATTTGAAAAGTTTGAAGACACCTGTTATGCTAATTACAGGACACACCTTAGTTTAACATGTGCCTACGGTTAAATCATTTTCAATCTTTTCTAAGGCTCCCATCATTTTTGTCTTGGCCAGTTTCATTGTTTTGTTTTTTAAAATGATTCCGTTGAAACACAGTTCAAAAGCAATGATCTGATTTTCATTAGTTAATTTTCAGTAAATTTTTATTTATTACTACTTTTGTCATTTTTGAGTTATTTCAGTGACTATTGTGGGGTTTTTTCTTCTTTCTTTAACAGAAGGGTACCAACAATTTTGTCCATGTCTGTATAGATCATATTACTTGAACCTTTCTTCGATCCTTTTGGCAACACCGTATCTAATTGTTAACTAGTTAGTGGACACCAAAACGAACACAAACACAAACACCTCAGGCTGTGTGTGTGTGCAGACACCAAAACGACACCATCCGTGCCTGAAGCATCCCTTTCACCCGATTGGCTGAATGCTGAATCTCTGCTCACTTTCACGCATCATGAAATATTTACAGCTGAATGCATGTTTTCTCTATTATTCCTGACTTTACTTGACATCTCTGAATCAACACGCACTGTTACGTTTGTCCGAGTGAAGACTTTCGTTTTTGTCACACACACACACAATAAAATGATCCTAATCATCGAAATTCTTTTGGGAGAGTAAAGGACATGTATGTTATTTATAT